TGATCATTAGTTTGTGCTCCCCCTAGTCTCCACACTAAGGGGATAAAAATCCAAACTGTAAAACGATCACACACAACACTGATTGTACCTGCAAAGACCAGAGTCAAAAGACTCCATAATATCCATGAAAAGAGAAGTTTAACCACATCACAAACCTCTTCCATGTATTCTGGTTCAGAGGCAGATGCATCCCAGCGGTTATTCAAAATAAATATATTGGGCCGAGACAGACGTTCGTTCACCTTGTGAAAGAACTGCTTCTCCTAAGGAAAATGAAACAAAACCTCTTCAGATTAATATGTCAAGTATTTTTAACCCTCAGCCAAATTCCCTGAAGTGGACTTGCACATACAGTTTGCATCAACGTTGATTCAGAATTTGCCACCAGGACAAACACGTCAGCATCGAGACAGAATTTGTCAATCCAGCTGTCCAGCTCTGTGGTTACATCAATGCCAGGGCTAGCAATAAAGAGAAATGAGACATTACTGTGCTGTGGAAACAGCAAAACCAGAATTACAAAAGTTAGTAAGAGATGTGTTTCAGCTTTTCAGGGCATTAATTTCCCACGTTTGAGCTGCACTGTCCCGAGGTGACAAGAGTACAGATTCAAAGGAAGTACTGACAAGAAAATCTGACTGCCAACTGCAGCAAAGGACTTTGGTCACTGTCACAGATTAGAACAAGGTCAATCCCTTTGATGTTTGTTAAATAGGTATTTGAAAACATTTCCGTAATCAGTCTGTGATAAGCAGGAAAGGAAAGAAAACTATTTCTCACCTGTCCATCAGCACCAGGTCATCCTTTAAGAGAGAACATTTGGAATTGGGCCACATTACACTGACCAGGCTGCCAGCATTCAGATGTTCATCCTGATGAAGGGCATGAGCCAGCTGGTTTACTGTCTATGAAAAGATGGAAATAACATTTCCTGGGTGCCAAGACCCACTAACACAATTCTTTCCCCTTCAGAGCTGTGCACTGACAATTTAAGATAAAACCCAACTCCAAATTACTTTCTCCCAGGGAGGTTTTCCATATAAAACCTTTTTGAGTGTCCTAGTCAAAAGACAACCACTAATGAGAGTTTATGAGAGATTTTTTCTGTCAGGAAAAGCTACTGAGGAATTATCAGGAAGTCTGTGATTCTGCCAGTCACACAGAGCTCAGAACTTCCTGAGTCATTGCTCCCTGCTGTCACCGACAAATACAACATATCGTCTTTTTCACAAAATGAACAAGTTCCATCCTGTGACTTGCTTCATTTCTCCCTTCCTACATCTAAAAAGACTCATTCTTCATCTCCATTCCTTTAATGATTAAAATCCTTAATTGTGAAATTTGCTCACAGCACTTTAATTTTCTTGTTCCTTCCCTTTTCTGCCATTTCTGAAGAGCCTTTATGCTTAAGAAAATTATACCTTAACACTCTTCTTTTCCTCTGAGCCTTCAGTCAGCAGGAAAGCATCATGTCCATCTGTCCCTTCTACACGCAGGAAGCAATTAGTGGTGTGCCCAATTCCTGAAGGAAGGACTTTGTCCCACAGCATGGCATTTATCACAGTGCTCTTCCCATTGCTTGTCCTGCAGTCAGATTAAGAATGGTGTAGCAGGGTTCCAAGAGCCAGATTTTACAGAAAGCAAGTTCTCTACAGCCCAGCTGTACCAGAGCCATTAACAACTCAGGTGCCAGAGGCAACCTGCAAAAAGACTTTGCTAGCCCCTTATTGTAGGAATTCTTCAAATTGAAGAATGACATGATACAATATTTCTTTCCAATTTACAAAGCACTAGTGCCAGGGACATGCACGTTACAAGCAGAAGCTAAAGCACTAGTGTTTCTATAAATGTTCTCTACTGGCTGCAATCCTCAAATGCTTCACTGAGTGGGGAGCGTAGGCAACACACACCCACGTGACTCACCTCCCAAAAAAAGCAACTTTCATATGTCGTCTTGCCAACACTTCGCTAATACCACTGACTTTTGACAGGTAGCCTTTGACTTCCAGTACCTGCTCTTCTGTGGTGACAGGATCAAGCTCTCCATTCTTGTGTGTTTCTAAAATCAAAACAGATCACGTCTCTGAGTTCCAGGAGCCATCTGGGTCAGTTCTGGATGCCACCCCTCTCTGTGATGGTAACACACAGAACTGAACATTTCTCTGTCCCACAGCCCGTGTGGGTGATCTCCACACAGGCAATGACACCCTGAGGCAATTCTGCAACAGCATTTATCAGCTGGTCCCTTCTGTGTATCTAAAAACCATCCCCGTCCTTGGGACTGCCTTAAACAGAACAGCCCACACTGCAAACACTCCAGCACCCTTAAAGAAAAAAATCTGCCTGTGCCTTAAGCTGTTAAAAGCCAATTACTGGCATATGTTACATGTCACTAACAGTGATGTGTCCAGCCAAGAACACTGAAAGGATTATAGACAAAAAAACCCTAAAGGGGTTGTGTAATTAATTAAAAATCTCCCAAGCAACATAAAAATCATACATAGCTCCCTAACTAGCTCAGTTTCCTAACATGCATGAAATTCTCATCTTCAAAATATGAAGCTGAACACCTGAACAAATTCAACAAAATAATTTTCTGTTTTTCTTATAAACATGAATACATGAACAAGACACACATGTATAAATAAGCACAGGTCTAGCAGCACTATTTAACTGAATGAGGAGGTTTGGTGTGTCTGTTTGGGAGCATTGTTTGTGGGCAAAGCACTGTCACACACTCATAGTTCCAGAAGTGAGCTTACCTTCCAGGAACGAGGAGCTCTCGTTGATGTAAGCAGCCAACTGTTCAAAGATACCATTGATTTTCTTCTTTGCAGTGACAAAATGTTTAAGTGGAGAAGCATTTACGTCAGCCATGTGTCTTTTATCCTTCTTCACTGCAACTATTGAGTTGGAACGAGTGAACAACAGGGACATTGCGCTGCAGGGAAAAATCCGGTAAAGAACAGTGTCACCAAGTGCCAACAGCTATCCAAGGGTGTGTAGTGATAAGGGGGAATGGCTTCACACTGCCAGAAGGCAGGGTAAGATGGGATATTGGGAGGAAGTTCTTCCTTGTGAGGGTGGGGAGGCCCTGGCACAGGTTGCCCAGAGAAGCTGTGGCTGCCCCATCCCTGGGAGTGTCCAAGGCCAGGCTGGATGGAGCTTGGAGCAACCTGGGCTAGTGGAAGGTGCCCCTACCTATGGCAGGGAGAGAGAACTGGATAATCTTTAGGGTCCCTTCCAATCCAAACCATTCTGTGATCATGATTCCATGACCCAACTAAGCATCCTAACATGAATTAGATAAATACATATTTTAAAAACAATCTTCTTTTTTCCACAAAGAAGTTGTTCCACTTTATACACATGAAAACTACCCATATATCAGAAATTAAAAAAACCTGCCTTTCCCTCTCCCTTCCAATAAACAGCCCCACAGCGATCACGTCTCCCCATCTTCCACTTACTTTCAGGATGAGTTACGTTTTCACCAGTCATGCATGGCCAGCTCAAGGCCCTCTTGAAGACAAAACGGCAGCAGTTTCCCTGCCTTCTCCCTCTCCTCGGCCGGACTCCGTCCCCTCCCCTCCGTCCCGCAGCTCCTTCAGCGACGCCGAGTCCAGCCGGTCTCCGTCCCTGCGGCAGAGGGGCCGGGGATGAGGGACAGGAGCTCCGTGAGGGGCCGGGCTCTGCCCCCCACGCCATCCCCATGTGCAGGGGATGCTCGAGGCTCTGCCCCCTCCGCCGTCCCAGTGTGCCCAAGGGATGCTCCGGGCTCTGCCCCCGCGACACCCCCATGCCCGAAGGATGTTCCGGGCTCTGCCCCCGCAACACCCCCATGCCCGGAGGATGTTCCGGGCTCTGCCCCCGCGACACCCCCATGCCCGGAGGATGTTCCGGGCTCTGCCCCCGCGACACCCCCATGCCCGGAGGATGTTCCGGGCTCTGCCCCACCGCCGTCCCCACGTCCCGGGGATGCTCGGGGCTCTGCCCCCGCGGCACCCCTATGCCCGGCGGATGCCCCCGCCATCCCGGTGCCCAGGAGATGCTCTGGGCAGACGCTCCGACCTGACACCGCCGCCCCCCCCTCAGCCCTCACGGGGCGGGAAGCGCCTCCCTCGCGCCCCCTCAAGACCCTTTCCCGGCGGGTCCCACCCTCACCGCTGCCGCCCCTGTCTCTGCCTTTGTTCCCGTCCGTGCCGCCCGGGAGGCGACCTCCCCCCGAAGCACTGACGCGGCCTGGAGCGGCTCTCCCCCGCGCCCTGGGCCGGGCACCGCCCGGGGCTCACCTTCACCGCCGTTCCCTCGCGGCCGCCATGTTCCCCCGCGCCGCCGTCAGCGGGCGGGTCAGCGGCGCGCGCCGGGCGCGGGGCACGCCGGGAGCTGTAGTTCGGGGCCCTCATGGCGGAGGCGGCCCCCGTCACACCCCGCCCTCCACCTCAGGAACCGAACCGAACCCGCCGACACGGGAAAGGGTTTTTAATGCGAGTTTCCCCCGTACAGCTCGTTAAAACTCCGATCGCCGAACCGGCGCGAGGAAAGACACAACAAAATAAGTGGGGAAAAAAAAAAAAACAAACAACAAACAAAAACCCAACTGCTGAATAAATACATAATACACATTTTTGGACATCTCAACGTTTGGCGTATCAATCCCTTCGTTTGGTAACAGACAGCTCTGGCTTTCACCTAACAGGTTTTATTACAGTTTTATTTCTCAAATGATCACCCCGCCTGGATTTTTCTCCCCCAGGCACCTCTGAGTGTGTGGCCTCAAAACAGACCTAAAAAGCTCATGGAAAGCGGTGGGAAAAGCTCTCTGTCACCTTCCTCAGGCACATTCCAACCGCAGGCAGTTCCCTGCCCGAACTTACACGTGTAAGGCTGTTGTGCCCACATTAATGTGACCCGTCCCAGAGGAAGGGGCTCTGCCCCTCACAGTCAGGCAGCAGAAGCTGCAGACACAGACAATAAAGAGGAAGGTGGTTTTTTTTTCTCCTAAGGACAATCATGATGTGAATTTACTGCTTGTGAAACGCCCTAGTCTGGCAGAGCCAGAGGATAACAGTGTGGGATAAGCAGAGCAGGGATCTCACAGGCACAGGCGGAAAAGGTTTTTCCCCTTCCCTCTCTAACCATGGTACTACTCTTGATAGATTTTTACACCTACTAGTTCATCACAATCTCTCAGCACTTCCCAACCACTCATTTCTATCAGCCTCGACCCCACTGGAGAACTGTCTGCAGTGGAGTGTTTTGGTTTGCAATCTTAAATAATAGAAACGCTGAATAATTATTTCCCCTAAGAACCAGAGAACAGCTCTTTACACCTAATGTGAATGGGCCATCAAAGAAAATGACCAAAACAATCTCTGACAATTGGAATGAGGCCACCAAACACCACCAGGACCTCTGGGATGTTATCCAGAGATTGATCAGAGGTTTTGACAACATGGTAAAGAACAGAGACAATTCCACAGTGAAGCCCTTCTGACTGATGCAGTTGTTCCCAGACTTCCCTTTCTTAGATCTGATCTTCACAGACTGAGATGGTCTGAATTCGTGTGGGTATCCCTGTTGCTCTTAGCTGCAGAAACAAAAGGTAGGGAGGCTGTTTTATCTCTTCAGTCTAATCCCAGAGGTAAAGCATCATTAGAGGACCTTCTTTCAGCTGATCAGAAGCACCTATATTGCCACTGCTGCTGCTTTGAACTTTGTGATAGGCTTGCAAGGACTGCAAAGAGGTAAGGAATCAGATGATCTTCAGGCTCTTACTGCTGAGTTTCATCTGATGTGACATTTAACTCCTATGACTGCTGGAGTCAGCTCCCTGATTGCTTTGTATTTGGAATAGTGTCCAGGAATTATTGTCTAACATCCAGTCCTGTATATGCTGTAGATGAAAACAGGCTTCCAGCTTGTGACTTGCCTCCAAAAAGCTGGATTTCCAGTCCAGGAAAGCATTTTTTAAAGCCAACCATTCCGTGATAGAAGGTTCAAGTAAATGGCACTTCCAAGAAACAGCGGATGAGGAGCAGAATCAAAAATGAAGGCACAAAATCTCCTTCGCAATTCTACAGCAATATTCCTAGATATTACCTGCAGTATCAGAGAGGGAGATCTTCCAGTAGTGGAGTCTTAAAATACCATTAAAAATCAATATCCAAATACCTTTGAACAATGCCTTAGAAACTCTCAGCAGCATTCCCTGTTTCCACTCAGAGTCAGCAGTGAGCAGGCCAGGGAAAGGTCCTTGCTGGGAAGCAATGCTCTAGGGGTCAAGAAAGGACACTGCGATATAACGAGTCCCTTTGGTGGTTGGGAGCCCTTCGTGGTAGTGGGTCAGGCGTCCTGGGTGCATGAGGGTCCATCCTTTCCGTGGAGCTCGGATGGAGCAGTTGTAGCGCAGGAACCGGCAGCCTCCTCCCTGATGGGAACACAAGAGACACGTCAGCTTGGAAGAAGCACCTCAGGGAAAGGGCCTCTGCCTTCTCCTGGCAGCCCTTCTGAAAATGTGAGAAGGTGTTTGGAGAATCCCCTGTGTTCTGATGCATTCAGAATTCTCCTTCCTACCCTAGCCCAGTCAAAAATTGCAATCCTTAGTGTGAAGAAGCCAGATGTGGAAAGGGTTTTCAGCTGCCTGGACTGCTCCAGAGGCTGTGCTGCATTCCTGCCCCACTGGCACTCACCTCATAGTCTATCCCAACTCGGTTCAGGGCAATGTTGATGGTGAAGGTGGAGGCGTCATGGTGGGGCATCAGGGACGGCTGCTCGTCGGGTTTGTAGCGAACCACAAAGGCCAGTTCAAACTGAGTCTGAGGAGAGAAGAACAAAGGGCACTGTTACAGGGCTGTAGTGGTCCTTGGCTGCTGAGCTGCAGAGCAGGGTGTAACACTGAAACTGCATTCCACTGCTAAGGGAGAAAGGCAGCGACCAGGCAGGAGAATGCCACTGGGAAATTGCATATTTCCTAAGGCTCATACTTATGTCACACTCCAGGGTCAGTCCCCCCACACTAGGAAAAAGTATGTGTATTCCTAGAGGATTCTTGCAGTCTTTGCACAAAGCTGCAACTGGAAGAGGTGATCAGAAGCTGGCCAGTGCACATACCTTGGTGTAGTATCCTGGGTACAGTTTCTCTGTGATGGGTGCAATATAGTCCAGAAGAAACTTATACCATTCTCTTTCAAAGCCAATTTGGTTCATGTGTATGTCAATAGTTGGGACGTTCTCATATCCTCCTTGTATTCTGCTGTCCTGAAATAGAATCCCAGAAATACCCATAAGGATGGGAATCCTGGAGTTCAGGAATGAAAAGCACTTGTTTCTGGTAACTACAAATAAATAGGATGTTTATTTTATCACAGTGTGCAGGATGGAAAACTCATTTCAGACAATAATTAAAACCTAAGGGAAATGATATTGCCATTATGAAGTCTGAACACTGTATTTTCAGAAGACACTAAAGAGGACTCAAAAATTAATTCACATTTAAGAACAAAATTAGGGTGTTGTCTCCAGTTTCCTGGTTTAACTGTGGGATCTAATGCCTTCTCATAGGAGGCACAGCTGCCACCGAATATGCACAGATAAAAGCAGGACCCAAAACTCAAAGAGCTCCTGCTTTACTTACCGTGTTGTCACCTGTGGACCACTGGCCATAATGTTCCATTTCTTCCACCAGCTCATCACAGGCAGTGTCAGTGAATATGGGGAACCAGTAAACATCTGGGCAGGGCTGCAGAAAGCAAACAGGTGAGAACAGCAGAAACAAGGACAGGTGCTTGAGGCAAAAGGAGTAAGGCTAAACTGAGTGCAGACTGAGTCACTTCAAGTGGAAAGACACTAAAATATTGAGGATAGAAATTTATCTTCTGATTTATGTGCCCCATTTCCACTTAAGAGAGCTGGAGATGTACTTCTAGGAGAAGGATTTGGCTCTAAAAATACTTTCAAGGTCATGCTCCCTGTGCTGAACTGCTTCTTCCCAAGAATGACAATAGTAATGATACAAACATTGTCCCAATGCTGATCTCCCATTGTGATGGATAAGAGTGATGTTTTCTTACCATTTCTACCAATTTCCCCTTCAGAGCTGCTGTGTAGTTTTCATGGATGTACTTTTCTCTCCAGTCCTGCAGACAGAAGATAAGCAAACCAGTCATTTCTGTGGGGCCTGCTTAAAGAGGCAATGAAAGGACAGGCACTCATACAGTATTCACAGGCTTTGAAGATCCAGATGCTGTGAATCTCATAAACACCCTCTCTTTAAATTCTGTGACTGTGCTCCTCATCCCACCTGAGAGACATCATTATTACAAAGCCTGGACCTCCCGTACTGGTGAAGCAAATCATCAGATATTCCCATTCCACAGTGCTGTGCCTGCTGAGCATGCAGGTTGTCTCACCTCAGGATTGCTGAATATTTGCCAGAGGTCGTTGTGGAGGTGAGTTGTCTGGTAATTCTCCAGGGACAGGATGTGTCCGAACTGGTGCCGGTTTGTCAGGTACATAAAGACTCCCTGTAGGACAGAGGAAGACTGTCAAGGCCTTGCATTTCTGTGAGCCACCATGAAATATAAGCACTGACAGTTCTCCAAGGTGTTAATTTACTCATTCTTCCTGCTGTGGCCCTTCAGTTAAATTTCCACCCTGGATATGAGGAGCTCTGAAAGGCTATAGCCAGAGACAGTAATTCTGTCTCTTGTCAGCCAGGGCTGGAGGCAGAGCAGAATAGCTGCTGTGAGATTAGGTTCTTCCTTTTTACCGTGTCATTTCCATTTAGAACAGACCTGAATAGGCCCAAGAACAAAAATGTTATCCACATTTAGTGGTCCCTGGCTTCGTGTGGTTTCACAGCAGGACAGAAATCCCACACTGTTCCAAAGTCTGCCCAGCACTGACTAGTGCCAGTTCACCCCGTCCCCTGCCCGGCAGAGCTGAATGCCTTGGAACTCCTTAATCTTGCACCCTCCACCTTGGCATGCAGCTCTCCCTGCCAGCCTCTCTCCTGGACTGACCTGATTCCTAACGTTGTGGCAGAAAGCCATGTCAGCATCCAGTTTGCCACTGTGGAAAAGATCTTCCTGGTCAAGCTCCGAGCGCAGCGCCTTGGCTTTAACCATGTAAACACTGCTGATGTAGGGAACGTTCCAAAGCCCCCTGAAACACAGGGAAAGCACAGTGAGACCTGAAATACCACTAAGACAGAAATTGCTGGACTTGACAGGATGGCAGCCAGACTTGCCTGAAAGAGCCAACTCAGAACTGTAGGGAGAAACCATACCGACAGGGATTGTCATTCCAGAAAAAAATTGCTTATATTGCTCAGAGCTTTTAAGCTGCACAAATGCTAGTCCACTGTGAAAGCAATGAATTGCTACTGTGTGCTTTTGCTGGGGACATAATTAATGGCTTGAATCTCTTCCCAGAGAGATCAACATATTTTTTCCAGTGATTTAAAGAAACTGAACTGGCCAAAAGTGCATAAGCTGATTTCCAGCATGTATTGCACATATAATGGCCTATAAAAAAAAAGGCCCCTCAAGAATATGAATGAATCAACAATTCTATTTTGTGAATATTCCATTCAAGGATCACATGGTATTTTATGAAGATTTATCTGAAAGAGATTAAACAGCACTTTACAGGATTGTAGGGGTCACACTAACTATATCCATAGGTGGGAAAACATGACATGAGTAAAATGAGGTGATTTCAGCAGAGTCAGGACTCTCAAATCCTTCCTCTGATCATAAGAAATCTCATTATCTCTGCTCAGGGGAGAACACAGAGCAGACACTTCCTTTCCTACACACACAGACAGTTGTGCTCTCTGGTTCTTTGACAGCAGCCAGTTTGATGATCATGTGCTGCAGCAAGCTTTACATCTGAGGGATTATATCAGGGAAAAGCTCTTTGCATACTCACACCCTCCTCCTTTGAACAATATCCACATAATCTTCTGAGCGGGCATAGTATCCATCAGGGCTCAGAGCTCCCCAGAAGTTGGACCACAGCTTCTCATGCCGGCTCACCAGAGGGGCAATCACCAGCCTGGCAGCATGAAAGGAAAAGGAATTGCAGGACGGGATGTTACCACAAGAAGAAAAGGAAAATATTTACAAACCACAGGACTGTAACAGCTATATTCTTCCTCACTTACAGAGCTGGTGTTTCATTAACTCCGCTGGAATAAAATTCCACATAAGAAAGGGCAAGTACGGTCCCAATCTCCTCTCTAACTGCACCCTGCACCAGGTCTCTTAGAATCTGATTTGTTCTACTGACTATATAAAGACAAAAATGAGGATGATTTACATCCCCTAAAATCCAGGGACTACAACTACAATGTAAAAAAACCCCAACACCTAAGAGGTGTTTGTCTAACATTCCATCTCTGACACAGTTCTCCTGGTGCCTTACACATCTCAGTGATAAAAGAGTTCACAGCATTCCTCGTGTGAGATGACCACTAAGGATTGCTCAGACCAAAGAACTCACTTGTTCTGTTCGATCAGGATCCTCAGAGTCTCTGTGTTCTTCAGAACTACCTCAGCATCCAGGCTAAAGTAATAGTCACAGTCAGGATCATTCCTGCACAAATCCCTACAGCCAGAGAAGAGAAAAGTCACACCAAAATCCTCTTAAAACAGAGCAAGACAAGGGACAGAACACAGGAATTCCTTCACCTTGTAGTCTAAAGGTGTTCTGGGTGTTCAGAAAAGTTCAATTTAATGTAACAACCCAGGGGACCAGCATAGCACAAGCACATCAGATTCACTATCCAACAGCAGACAGACACACAGCCAAAATCACATTTACCAAACTGTTTCCTCAGCACAAACTGGGGAGGTTCCCATTTACAGTTGGCACAAATCCACACCAGAGCTCAAACATCTCCTGGTCACAGACAGGAAGATACTCTTCCACTAGCTCTTAGTTTTACTGCTACACTCCTCCTCTCCAGAGATACAAGTGCATATTGTTTGTGATCTATGGCTGGGCATGTAGATGACATGTGGGAGGTACAGGATTATCCTTCTGCCAGAGCAAAGGACCAGTGAGAACTTAGTCTCTGAAAGTGGAGAAATAAAGCTGGTATCAAAGTTGAATTTTTTTCCCAATATGTAAGGGCATGGGAGTTAATGCTAGAAAAACTGAAAGAAAAGGGGGACTGAAAAAAAAGAAAAGCAATCACTTGACAGGGATGATCCTCAGAAAAAAACCCAAATGTCTTAGTTTGGACAGGGGCTGACTCTGCCAGCCATCACATGTGGCCTCTTCACTTACATGCCCAAGTTACGTGCCTCAGCGTTCTCCACCTCATCATCTGGCCCCATCACCTTGACAGAGAGATATTCTTTGCCATGCTCTTCTACAAAAGAGTCCACCTCCATCAAGTGATGTTCCTCCTGTGCCAAAAATAAGGAAAAATGGGTAAGATGGGCTCATCCCAGGCCACTCAGCCTCCTGTTCTTGAAAATGCCAAACCGGATGGGCAACAGCTCTTCCCACTTCCATATCTTTACAGCTGGACAGAGCTATCTTATTGGTGCCATTGCAGATAACTACTGGGCTTACAGAGGCTGGAATTATAGAATCACAGAATCAGCCAGGTTGGAAGGGACCTCTCAGATCATCAAGTCCAACCCTTGATCCACTACCACCGTGGTTACTAGACCATGGCACTAAGTCTAGCCCAAGGTTGCAAAGGTGCCTAGAGTACAGGGAAGGTGTACATTTTCCCTACATTTGCTAAGACCATCACAGGCCATCTTCACTTACACTGTTGTGAATGAAGAGCTGGATTCGTTGCTTCGGGTAATGGAGGTTACGAAGACGTAAGAAAAACTGGGAGAGGAATGGGGTGGGCTGCTCGATGAAAATTCCAATCAGGATCATTGGCAGTGCCTCATCCTGCATTCAGAGAGGAGAGGAGAGAAGTGGTGACTGGAGTTCCACATCAGATCCCATTTTAAGACTTGTCTTTAAGGCTTTGAACAGACACATCAAGCCTTACCTTAAACCCTGTGAGGCTTCGCAGACCTTCATCACACACAGTGCAGCCAGTCTCAAATGTCCATACTTGAGGAATGTAGTTTCCCAGGTAGTTCAGCTGCAGCTGCAAAAGGCAATTTGCAATATTTTATATTACAGGGCAGGGGAGTTTCTTTGTGTGCAACCCCACTGTAAGATCACATTTCAGCTCCATTTACCTTCTCTGGGAACTAAAGAATCTGAAGCACCACAGCCTGAGGGTCCAATTACAAATGGGTCTTTGAACCAGACCTGGACCTGCCATGGACCTGGACCACTTATTATTTCTCAAATACAAGTGGACACAGGGACAGTCAATAAATGTGAAGACAGTAACCAGATCCATCAAGCCTAAAGGGTCACTTTGCAACAAACAGAGACCAAATCTTTCTCTCTAGAGGTCCACTTACCTTGGTGGGTCCATTTCCATGAATCACCACAGGCAGGGTGTCATATAACAAGTTTCTTGCTCTCACTCGTGAGTTTTCAAACTTCATGACTATCTCATCTGGAAATGACATCGCCAGCACGTTAATGCTTTTATTGATAATTAGCAGCACAACGCCTCATTTCTACTGAGAAACCACGGAAAGATGAAAGCATGGATATGGATAACTGTGCACAGGCAGTTTAAAGGTTACAGACCATAACTAGAAAGAAGAAAAAAGTGTTCAGAGTGATCTTGTGAGGTAACAGGATGGCTGGGAAACTGGACAATGATGCATCTTTGCATTACAAACAGTGACTGCTCCCAGGCCCCCCGTGGCTGCTTCTCACCTCCCCTGGCATTCCAGCAGGGTTCTGAAGCGGAAAGACAGGCAAGCCCTGGGCAGGGCTGTGTGTTTTTACTTGCACTGGAAGTCCCTCCCAGTTTCAATCCCCAAGGCTAATGCAATCCGACATGCCTGGAGATCAAAGTGGCAAGGAGGTGTAAGATGAAAAACCTGACCTGCATTCCCTCAAGTGGAGAAGGAATTGCAGTGAGAACCTAGCTGGTCACAGTGGAATTCCAAACAAATCCCAGAACTCTGGCAGAGGCTTTTACTGAAGCTTATTCTGCAGGGACAGGCATTTCTGAAATACAATCCCTTCAGCCACAAGTTTATTTCTGGTATCAATTTGCAGTTTCATTCCAAGGAGAAATGACCTTCCCTCTCCCATCTCACCTAATGCTCCGTCTAGGTTTTGGAAGATCCGGCTTCTTTGGTCTAGACTGATGTTGATGCTTTCCTTTAAAAGAATGAGATAAATAACCTTAATTAGAACACAGGGGGGCATCCATTCTTTACATGCTGAGCGAAGATATATCCCATTCCTATAATCATTTGCAAGCTCTCCAAGCCCTGAAATCTAAAACACTCACAGATAATCATCATTTTCACTCGAATCTGGGACAATTCACCATTTTCTAAAACAATTTGAATATATTCTATTAGGCAAAAACTGTGCAAAAAAAAGAAGACACTTTAAAGCTGCTGTGGGTATATCAATAAATCTCCAGCATATGAATGAAGTGCACCTGCACACAGCTATATAAACCCCACAGATAACACAGAGGAATGCCAAGACAGCAAAACCATCTGCTGTGGAGAGTTTCTTGCCATCTATCTGTAGGGCAAGTGTTACCCAAGCATTGCTTCAGGTACCAGTGCCAAACTAGAGCACAGTAGGGTGCAAGGCCAGCTTGTGCAATCTTTGTTTTTATCCCCTGCTGCAAGTCACACTCTGACTGGGTCAGACTAAAATGCAGCTGTGACTTAACAGAGTTCCATGTCCCTGCAGGCATCCATTAAGAGCCATTACTGGGAAGGACAGCAGGGTGCTAACATCCACTGTCTGAGTGCCAAGGCAGGGGAATTACTCAGCCCTTGCAGGGCATAGGGCCAGAACTGCAGATGAGAACATTAAAGGAACTGTTCATGTTAAATTATCACAGGCCATACTTGGATTTAGGGAACTAAAAAAGTCCAGCTGCTCTGAATTTTCTACCAGCCCTGCTGGTAAAAAACTGCAACTCTTTCTCTAGTCAGTGTGAAAGCAGCTCCTCAATACAAATGTTTCCTCTTGTTTGCAAATTGCTGTTACAGTTTGAGTTCTTAGTTCCTGTGCATTTGTGGTGTCTCAGGGACACACTGGCCTGTGTAATGCACAACTGGGCAGGGACAGCAGACCCAGAATGACCCATGGGCTGGGTGCTTCAGCCAGTGCACCACATGGTGCTGGAATAGCAGTGCTGCTTCCAGGGTCCATTCCAGGCTTCTGTAGGATGTCATATGGCATTTACCTATAATGTACTTGAGTGCTAGGTTGGATATCTCTAAGTCAGCACTGCAATCAGGGGTTTCACATCCCCTGGGAGGAGGCTGGTATGAGCTTCCAGTCATGGAAATTTCAAGTCATCTCTTTTCCCATTCATATTTTAAGCTCAAAGATAAAAACTGCTAATAACAGAACATGGGGATACTGGCTAGAATGCAAATTTTCAGGCTCTCAAAATCTATATACACCTACTCTTTTTTCTGGATCCAAGAAGATGTTTGTATAGAAGAGCTGGTCACTGTCATCATCCTCTCCTTTCCACTCCTCCACAAGCTTCTTCAGGTTTGGAGCATAACCTATGAAGCCTGTGGGAATAAGAATGAAGAGGCATTTCAACCCAGATGACCAAAAAGTGGAATAACTCCTGCATACCTGTACTCTCACTTCTCTCACATGAATTCTCACTACACCCTGTGTTGCAGCAGAGATACACCAGCTTTTAGTTTGTTCACCACTGCTCCCAAGGGCCAAATAGGAGAAGAAAGCTGAAAGAGGTTCTCAGCTGAAAGCAAGCTCTGTGTCTCACCTCCAGAACCCAGGAAGCGCTTTCCATCTCGCACCTGAGGATACTTGGCTTCCAACTTTCTGTCAGGGTAAATGTAGTTCTCTGCTGAGAAAACCACCTTGCTCTTGGCTTGTCTGAACTTCTTCAGCAGCTCTGTGGGGCCCGAAGCAAAGAGCACGTCATAGCTGGAGAAAGAGGCAGACAAAAAGGGACAAAAAGGAATGGAGACAGAAAAACATGTCAGTGAGAAAAGTTTCTAGAAACAGCTAATTCTTTGGGAATCCCTTTCTTTTAGTTCTGCTTCACAGTATTACATTTTTTTGTGAAGTAACTGTAGCTAATTAAAGCAGAGTCTTATTCATACGCTGGGCATATGAAAAGACACTGAGAGTCCAAACTGTCCTTTTTCCTCTTCACTTTTCTCTGGCAGACCAGTTCTTGGCTCTCAGGATTGTGCTGCAGCCTACCTCACCTTATAAAACAAATAATTCTGGTAAGAAAGGCCTGCCTAGTTCCAGAGGAATTGTCTGCAGTTACAGGCAGCCAAATTCCACCATGGCAGGATCAGGTACAACACTATCAGGCAAGAGTTGGAACCAGCCTATTCTGCTGAGACCTTCCCAAGTGCCACGGATGCAGCTCTAAGTGATTCTCAGGCAACTACAGAGAAATCAAGGGGAAAAAAAACCAGAGGTCTGGACACACTTTTCAAAAGCAATCTACTTCACAGTTCACTTCCTGTCCAAACAGCCTTATGATTCAGACCATGGCAAGTTTTTTCCAACCATTACCTGTCTACAAAAAGGATGATCAGGTCCTCCTTATCCCCAAACTGCTTCAGAGCTGCTTTCAGGAGACGGACCTTCTGCCCACCTCCAGCTGGATTCTGGTCATCTCCACCCTGCCACTCCTCATCCAGCCCCAGCACCTGCACAACGACAGGTACAGGGTCACCTGAACAGGGCAATGCTCACAGGAAAGGACCAGAACCCCCAACCTGACCAGTCCTGATAACTGTGCAAATCACAGCAAAAATAACAGCCCCAGGACAAATGGACTATAGACATATATATATATATAATATATAAATATATATATATACACACACACATACATATATATATCAGCTTTTGACCCACTCTCTGGGCTGGCCAGGCAGAGTAACACGTAGCACAATAACAAAGCACTCTGAGCCACAGGGACAGGAGCACGTTCTGTACCGTGTGTTTTGGCAGAATAATGGAAAAGTGCCATGGGGCTCCCTTGAGCAGAGTTATGGGTCTCATCCCAAGCCAGCACTCAGGATGGAATAACAGACTGCTGCAGAAATGCCCCAGTCACAGTGGTTTTCAGCCAGTTCAGTAGGTGTGTCCTCTCCTGAGCTTTTATTTAATCATTTTATGGCCAGGCCTTATCCATTCCACAGTTCAAAATTCCCTTTGACCAAGCACCTCGACATCACCTGGACTTTGTAGTTGAAGAACTGGGCTGATCTTCTGAAGCGCTGGAACCCCTCAGTCTGCTTGGTGGCAACAGTCAGAACCAGCAGGTTTTCTGCACAGGGGGGAAAGCACAAGAGACACATTCAGCTTGTGCTGTTTCCACAACCAGCTGTTTCACACCTAACTTGATCCTGGGTATAAAACAAGAGATTATGGAAAGATACAATTTCACTGCCTGAGTCAGGAGCTAGAGAAAGAAAATAAAAAGTAGTAAGTGGTTTTTTGCCCTGCTAGTGAAAGCTACAATTCTCTTCTCTCACACAGAGTATGAAGGAAATTAAAGTTGAAGATAAAAAAATAGAACTACTACAGAATGCCCATTTGGAAGGCATCCATTTAGTGCAGTATTGGTTTCCTGTTCCCCACAGAGCTGCTTTTTTGTCACTCAGCATTGACTGAGTGTAGGGAAAACCAAAATTAGTCCTGAATGTTATTATTCCCTCTATATGGCTGCTCCTATTTTCTACTGCGTTCCTGAGGTGTTTTCCAGAGTTTTTCATACATATTCAATGTGAATTTAATTGTGCTATAACTTTCATTTGCATTCTCCTCCCAAACTTGCTTTTTATTTCCAGTCCCTTAAAAATGACAAAGCGAAATCCTGAAGTCCTCTTTCAGAAGTTTGTCCGTGGTACCACTGGAATATGATTTTTATGGGGAAGTTCTGGTTTCCTCATTGCAATGATAAAAATGCTATGCTTCACCCTAGCAGTTTTGCTGAAGTAGGAATTTGTATAGGCTCTGGCAACGGTGCTTAAATGCAAATCCTGGCCATCCGATTTAAACATCAAAAAATACCAGGAAAAACTGAAAGCACATTTTCTTGGCCTCAGCAGGCTCTTTTTGGAACAATGATTTTTTTCAATGGATGTACCAGATGTATCTTCCTAATGTACCCAAACTGATATTCTGTCTGGCCTTAGAGAGGAAGGATCTAGGAGCTGGAGTTATAGATGGACCTGGGAAAGGCAGCAAAAGTGAAAAATAAGTGTAAGACTCCACGTTAAGAAGAAAGAGGATATTCTCCCAATCCTGTACCTGCATCAGAATAAAAAGAGAGGAGATTGAGAACAGTCAATAGGTCAGCTCTAATTGTATTTTGTTAGACATGCTCACAAAAGAAGTGACAAATAAAAGAACAGGAATCCTGCATTGGTGCAGATTTAAAGGCACATTTTCAGACACATGAAGTGCATTCCTAATCCAGCTCCTCCAGCACGCTCCAGTCTCTGTCAGAGGGTGCAAACAAATGAGTAAAATATGTATGTCCTCAGGGAATATGTTAAAGCCATTACAGTTTCTAGCCATGCAGAAAGCCACGGCAGCTTTATGAGAGCTCCAAGCTCATGGCTTCTGAGAAGGTGAGGATCATACTGCCAAGGAAAAGGGGGGAAAACATGGGCTTGCCAGACAGGAATGTCAAGGCAAACCTTAAATTCTAGCACCTGAGGGGAGAAAGCATATGATAATGATAAAAGAAGGAACAGGAACGACAGAACTCTGACTGCTATGCAATTATTTCAGCCCCAAATCTCAGGCTTCTCACATTAAGTAAATCACTAATTCATTTTCAGGCTGCCACCCTGAGAAAGCCACACACTGTTTATGATCTGACTGCCAGAAGTTTGCTGGACATGACTAAAGGCTGCACAGATGCACAGGAAGTGGTGTCCTATTTCCAAGGCAGAAAAGGTCCCCCCGTGCAGTTTGTGAACTCAGAGGAGCACTAAAAGCCAGCGCAGACAATCATCATCCCCAGCAGAATTCCAGGTTACAGATTCCCTTCTCATTCCTGGTCTGTGGGGTAGGACTCCGAGAGACACCAAGCTCAGTCTCTGTTCTGAGAACTCTGTAGTAGTAGCGAGAGCTTTCCATCCCCAGAGACATTCCTTCAGCCCAGCACTGGAAGCTTGTGCCGAGCTATGCTGCCTCCACTCCTTCTCCTTTAACCCTTTTTTATCTTCCCCAAAGATTTTGCTGAACACTGGTGCAGCTGATGGGTACTGCCAGGGACAGAACAGTAAAGCTTTTTACTTTCAGTATCACATGCAGGCTTTTTAAAACATCCTAAATCAGAGTGATACTTCCCAATTTCCCATGTCACAGTCACTTTCCATATGTAGAAATGGCAGCCTGTTGAGCTAAGCTGGGCCTCCTGGGCCCAAAGGCTCCCTGGGCCATGCTGACAACTAAAAATCATATAAATACATTTAATAATGGGATGGATGCAACATACAAACACAGGGTGGTTTAGGAACCAGGGGAGTTGCACTCTACTGCCAGCTCTGCTATGCAACAAGGAGCCAATCCAGCTCTCCCTCTGTTTTTCCATGTGTGGAACAATAATAGAAGATATTTACCACTTTTGTGAGGGTTTTAGAGCTCTGTAGATGAAAAGTATCCTGTAGGGACAAAGCACTAGAACAGGAACTCTGATGCCAATGTCACAGTGAAAAGGTTGTGTAAAACTTCTCAGCTTTTATGAAGATTAAAAATCAGTGACAAGTTCAGTAACAAAACAATAAATTTAAAGTTATTTACTTCAGCCCTGAGTCGACAGGGAAAGCACAGCTGCAGCTGCATTTTAGGACAAGGAATGAATTTATTCCTAGGCTGTGCTTTGGGAAATCTTACTGTGCCACTTCCTGTTAAGATGGTGTCCAAAAAAACACCATTAATATGGAGATCAAATAGAAAAAAATCAGTGCACAATTTAGTAGTGGATAATATAATCTCTGCATTAAATTTACTTTACAGAAGTATTTTTTAAAGATTCAATTAACTATAAATAACTATGCTTAGATCTTTAGATCTTACAAAGATCTAAAAGAACATCCAAGAGAGCAGACAGATATCATTACTCTCACGTTACTCTGGGGAAGCTGAGGCACGACAAAGGTGAGGCATTTTTTTCTTTGAGTCACACCAGAAGTGATGAGTTCAGAAAGCAGTTAATTCTAAATCCCTCTTCCTAACCAACATGCCTCATTCTCTTTCCCAGCCCCCAGTTTTTGCTCTAGTGCACTCTAAAACCTTACCCAAACCATGGAAGATTTGGGATGTGCAAGGAAGGCAGGATAGCACAGAGAGATTCTTTGTTTCAGTGATGGCACTATAGCTAAAGAACTCCCAACACTCCCATGGATACATGTAACTGTATTAAGTAATAGATATATAGTAAAGGTAATTATACCAGAATCACACTGTGAAGGGAAATATTCTAGGTAACAAGATTAAATCTCCTCCTAATTGCCACGTCTCTAATGAAGACAGAGATAATTATCCCAACTTCTTGGCAGAGTGACAGTGCGTGAAGCCCTTTGTCAGTGCTGCTGACACTGTAGCTGCCCTAATCCTCTGCCCTTCTACCAACTACTCCAGAGTTTCTACCAACTGATGTTATTTTAGGAGCATCCCGGATCTTGAGTCACAGCGTGGACAGTCAGGGATCTAAAGCTCTCCCTTTACCTTGCTCTTGAACCGTCTAAGTCCAAAAGCAGGGAGAGCTGACCCAGGTGGGATGCAACCCACGGGACCGAGAGTCCTTCGCCGGGCTGAACCGGCGTGCAAGGCTGTGTCCCACAGCCTGAGCTGCCTCGGGACCCGGCGGGAGGCTCGAGGTGCCGCCCAGGGGCTCAGCCTGGGCTGCGACAGCGGGACAGGGGCGGCACCGCGGGGCTGTGCCCGTCCCTCAGCCCTGCCGCCCGTCCCCCCGTGCCCCCGGAGCCCCCCTTACCTTCCTGCGGCGAGGCACGGCCGCCCCCCGCCCCGAGCAGCGCCAGCACCGCCCAGGGCAGCAGCACCGCCGGGACAACCATGGAAGCGACTTTCCCGCCCGGACCCCGCGCCGGGAGCCCCCCTAAGGAGCGCGGGCGATGCCTGCGGGACGGAGCGGGCGGCTCTGGGAGGCTCCGGGGCTGCCGGAGCTGTGCCACGCACCAGACCCGCCCGGCGGGGACGGGCGGAGGAAGCGGGAGGAGGCGGCTCCTCCTCCCGGGCCGCCCCGGCCCCCGCGAGAGGCGGGCGGGCGGCTGGGGCCGGGCTGGGAGCGGGGGAGGGAGCGCCGGGGCCGGGCGGGAAGAGAGGGAGCACCGGGACGGGCTTGACCCCGCAGCTCCGGGGCTTTACCCGCGAGGCGTGCGGGGTACCCCGGCCGTGGGACGCCGGGGAAGAAACAGGCACCGAGCAAACGCGTAGGAGGAGAGGGGTCACTCTCTGGGCAGCTGCAGCTGGGCTGACATGGGCATTTATGTGGGAAAAGCAAACCAGGAGTGGATTGTAACGTTATGCACAGCTCTGGAAACTGGAAGCCTTATTAAATATCATCTTCGCACCTGTTGCCTCCCATATTTCCTTGGTGAACACAGGACCTGCAGGGGTTTTGTTCCCTACACTGACTGGTTTTCTCTGGCCGTGTACAGGTCTTTAAGTCTTACATTTGTCTCTGTGGCCTTGTGCTGGGTTTTCTTGCTCTAGCCCTGATGACTTATCTAGGCATCTTTTTCTAGTTCATTCTGCCAATATTTGAGAACGGGCAAATAATCCCATCTTAAAAAATTACACTTTTTTTAACATTTGCTTTAGGGTCACTTTTACACTTCAGTGAGTGTAAGGTTTAGATGTAGGGAAACCCTTTAGAGCCTGAGGATCTACCACTGACACAGACCTTATATGAGGCCTGTCAGCAAACCAGCTCTTTAAATTAACAGAAATCACAGATATCACAGGATTTGGATTTTCAAAACAAACCCAAGAAGGTATGTTCTTAGAGGAGAAAAAATAAAGCACACTAGAAAGGCCAGACTGTAGCTAATGAATATTCTCTGTGCTTCATAACAGCATCACCCCGAAGAACTCCCATTACAATTTGTTCACTGGGAATATTCTTGGGTGTGTTCAAAGCACTTTTCCTTCCATTCCCTTTCCCTGAAGTAGTAATTCCCTCATAGTTACCAGGAAAACAGAACAGGCCTCGTGCTCAAGTGATGTACTACAGGTAACAACCCAACGAAATATTAGTTCTCTCTAAAATAGTGATTTCAGGACACTTCCTTTTGCAAAGCTGCCAGTTTCTCTAAATAATTTTTTTTTAAATTTAAAAAAAAAAGAAGGAAAGAAAAGAAAAAAAACCCAGATTTTCACTTTAGATTCCATTTTCAATTTAGATTTCTTCAGTACTTTGCAGGCCCTGATAAATCTGTAGCAGCTTCAACACTTTAAGCCAGGAGCCACAGCAAAGATGCTCAGCACTTTCCCTTCAGACCTCAGACTGAGAGCTGGGACTCAACACGGGTTTTTAAAATTGCAAGTTTCTCATTTTGAAGAAGTTAAATCTCTCCAGTCTGAAACCAAAGCGGTTTTGCACACTGGAAATCATGAATGCCTCATTGTTTGTGCTGCTGTACCCAGCCCGACGCTGTGTGACAGCTCTGTTTGTATTCTGCAACTCTGCCAGCCCAGCGAGCGCATTTCATTTCCCCCCTCTGTGTTTGCACTGCTCTGTGCTCTCTGGCTGCAGTCGGTGCCTGTCTTTTTAAACAGAGCCAGCTGCCAGTGCAGATGTTCCATGAGTACGTGCAACACGTGCTCCAGGCGGAGCAGCAACTTCCTAAAAACTGGAAGGCTCGGAGCTCCGTTTTTTGTGCAGCCTCAAAACATACCGCGGCTTCTGAGGCAGCACCAGCCCCACCGAAACCTGCAGGGGATGGAGTCTCACCCACCCTTTTGGGGTTCGAGAGCTCCTTCCAAAATCAAACAGGATTTTGCAGGAATATTCATTTGCATTCATTCAAATATTCATTTGCAGGAATAAATGAAGAATGTGTCTCGTCCGTTACCTTCACTGAGCTGGCTCAACCTGGTCGAGAATTTCATAGTTTTAAGTCACAGTGTTTGTCTGACTTGCTCGAAACTGTGTGTCTTCTTGTGTCGCTGGAGCGCTGTGCAGAATACCAAGCTGTCCTGTGCACATCTCAGTCGCGTCACTAAGTTTGTTCCTCTATTTACTACAGGGTGTGATAGAACATGACTCGCTTTCCCGCACGGTCTCTGCCGTGGTAACGGCAGTGAATGACACTGGAATTACGGAAATCCCCTCCAGGCCTTTTCCATCGGTGCAGTGACCCGGGCGGAGACACAGAACACAGAACATCAGCCCTGGGCTGGAGCTGCCCGAGGACACCCGCGGACATCGCACCGGGAGCGGGGCAGGGGAGGAAATCCGGGACCGGGGGATACCCGGAGCGGGGAAGGGTTCCCGGTGCCGGGGCTCCAGGAGCCGGCGGGGTTGGAAGACAGGGAGTGCACCCCGGTGCTGAGGGGGCTGGAGATAGGGCGGGTCAGAGCCAGAGAGTCCCGGTCCCGGGGGGCTCCCGGAGCCGCGTGGGTCGGAACCCGGGGGGGTCCCGGAACTGAGTGAGTCGGAGCCGGCGGGTCGGCAGCCGGCGGGGTCGGGAGCTGACAGAGGTCCCGGTGCCGGGAGGGCTCAGGGCCGGGGGGTCCCGGTGCCGGGGGGTCCCGGTGGGGCCGGGCCGGGTCTCTCTCCCCTCCCCGCCCGCCCCGAGGGGGCGGCGCGCGCGGCCGTCGCAAAGCGCCGCAAAAGCGCCGCCAAGCGCGGCGGCGATGGCGGCCTAGGGCCGGAGCGGCGGGGCCGGCGCTCCCCGCCGGGGCTCCCCATGTGGCTGCAGCAGCGCCTCAAGGGGCTGCCGGGGCTGCTGTCCAGCAGCTGGGCGCGGCGTCTGCTGCTGCTGGTGGTGGTGCTGCTGGTCGCCTACTGGTACCTGCTGGCGGGGCGGGCGCGGGGCGCGGGGCGCGGGGCCGAGCCGAGCGGGGCGGCCGCGCTGTGCCTGCAGGCGGCCGCGGGCGCCTGGCGGGCGCAGACCCAGCGCGGGGATGCGCTGCCGCTGCCCGAGGACGCGGCGGGGGGCGAGGGCACCGCGGGGCCTGCGCTGGCGGGCAACGGGTGGGTGCTGCTGGATGTGACCGCGGGGCGGCTCTGGGTGAGGCCGGCGGGGGCCCCGGCGGGCCCCGCGCTCGCCACCGAGTACCCTGCGCTGGTGCGGCTGCGGGCGCTGGGCGGGCGCGGCGAGGCGCGGGCGGCGCTGGCGGCGCTGCGGGACGGGGCGGTGCGGGCGGTGCGGTGCGTTCACACCGGGCCCGGCGCGGGGCCCGGGGACTGCGTGACGGTGCGGGAGGACGTGGTGGCCCACCGGGGCCGCCCGCACCTCTACCTGCAGCGCCTCCGCATCGCCAACCCCACGGACAGAGTGGTCGCCTTTGAGGCCTCCTCGCCCCCGGCGCCCGGCGGGCGGTTCTCCAGCAGCCTGGAGAAGGCGGGGGAGCGGCAGTTCGTGCTCTCCTCGGGCCGCCTGGCGCTGCCCGGCGGCAACAAGGCGGTGCTGGTGGTGGTGGCGGCCCAGAAGCTCGTGAGCCGCCTGCAGGTCGCGCCCAAGTCGCACTTCGACGAGACGGTGCTGTCCGTGGTGCACACCTCGGAGCCCACCGAGCCCGCCCGGCTGGAGGAGACCTTCGGCAGGCTGAGGGAGGCGGCCAGGAAAGAGATGCTGGAGGTGATGCAGATGGGGGTGGAAGATCTTTTCCAGGAGCACCAGCAGACCTGGTCTGACCTGTTCATTTCAGGTAAGGAAGGTGATGCTCAGCTTCCACAGAGAGTAGCTGAAAGTTCAATGACCTGGTTGCTGTAAGGGCTCCAGGGGCTCCACTCTTCCTCAGGGTTTGTGGGATAATGAAACAGTTTGGAATCCAGCATGCTTTACGATGTGGAGGACACCTGACTGCACAAAGGAAGTGATGGAAGAACATTTCTGATCGTAACTCTGGGTGTGCTGCCTTCCATGGCTTCAGGAACTTCACTGATTTGTCAGTTGGAAAATAGACTTGACCTTTAGTGACAGTAAAAAGACAGATTTCTGCATGGAAGTTAAGGACTGTCCTTAACAGGACAAGGATGGTTTTTCCTAAGATTTCAAGGATGGTTTTGTAAGATTTTAATGGCCTTGTTGCCCAAGTAATGCAGAACTTGCTATTTTATAGCCAGTAGAAAGAGATGTTCCTTTGACAGATCATTCTTGCAGAGCCATGGTGACATCTGTGTGTAAGAGTAGCTTTGTCTGTATGAGAGCGTGGCTTTCAAACTCCAAGAAGCAGAGAGAGTGATTTGTCTTCTTAGACAAATACAAGGAAACATTTCACTGCAGTGTTTTATGGACAAAGGTTTATTAGATGTCATAAAGAACACCTGGGCAACGTGCACATTTGATCTTCTTTTCCTCCTGGTTAATGCCTTGTTCTTCTTTTGTTCCAGGGATTGAAATGAGGAAGATCACGGATGCTCACACCCCATCCAGTGAGACTGTCAACATGACCCTGTACTACGTGCTGTCCACCATGCCAGCCCCCCTGCTGGACCCCCTGATCAGTGCTGAGGACAGGGAGAGGATGGAGGGCAGCCTGAACTATGCTGACCACTGCTTCAGCGGCCACGCCACCATGCACGCCCAGAACCTGTGGCCAGCCAGGCTCACCAGTGTCCCCCAGATCCTGCAGCTCTCAGACCTGTGGAAGCTGACCCTCCAGAAACGGGGCTGCAAGGGCCTGGTGGCAGCTGGAGTGCACGGGCTCATGCAGGGGATGGTGCTGAGCTTTGGGGGGCTGCAGTTCACGGAGAACCATCTCCAGTTCCAGGCCGACCCTGATGTGCTTCACAACAGCTACTCCTTACGTGGGATCCATTACAACAAGGACTTGATCAACCTGGCTGTGCTGCTGGATGCCGAAGGGAAGCCCTTCCTGCACGTGTCAGTGAAGTTGCAGGAGAAGCCAGTGAGGCTGTATGCCTGTGAGGCAGGCTGCATGAACGAGCCCGTGGAGCTCACCTCGGAGGCGCGGGGTCACACCTTCCCCGTCATGGTCACCCAGCCCATCACACCCCTGCTGTATATATCCACAGACCTGGTCCACCTGCAGGACCTGAGACACACACTCCACCTAAAAGCTATCCTGGCTCATGAGGAGCACATGGCCAAGCAATACCCGGGCTTGCCCTTCCTGTTCTGGTTCAGTGTGGCCTCCTTAATCACTTTGTTTCACTTGTTTCTGTTCAAACTCATCTACAACGAATATTGTGGGCCTGGAGCCAAGCCACTCTTCAGGAGTAAGGTATAAGGCTGCTGCTTTTGGCTGCTGTCCACTGAGTGTTGTCAGCCTGGTGTTCTGTCAGCTGTGCCTGGGCAGGGTCTGTCTTGGACTGTGAGGATTTTCAGTCTCTCTTGCAACAAGCAACCTGTGACCTCTTCTTGCAAGGGGAGGGAATAGGGCAGGGATTGGAGCAGCAGGGCTCATAAATATTAGCAGAGATGAACTCATCATCTGTCCTTAGACATTTGTAAGGCTGCAGGTGGAGGCAGACTCAGCTTTCTGTCCTTTTTCCACACATCATTGCTTGTTTCTAAGCCAGGAATGTCAGGAGATGATGTTTCTTGTTCTGCGATACCAGAAAGCTTGTGAGAGCTGCTGGGCTTGTCTGAACTGCTGTGTGGAGATGTCACACCTGGTCTGAATGGGTGACATGTCACACTGCAACACCCAAATGCAGGCTGGTGTTCTGACTTTTGGGACTCCTGGTCCATGTTCATGGATTTACAGACACTGTGCAGTCCTCCATCAAACCACATTTACCACCACGGTTTGGGGCAGGTGCTGAGTTGGTGTTTCTTCCATTCAGACAAAATTAAGGAAAGTACTGAGTGCTTTTTACTGTGAGTTGGAGGCTCTGGCTTCAAGCTCTACTGCATCTCATTTGGGTGTAAAGATTTTGAAATTCTTGGTTAGAGTTGCCTTAGAAAACTTAGTTGCTAGTAAAAACTAGAGAATAGAAGGTGAGTTCTGCTCTTAGTACTGGGACTTTCTGGCTGTGTGTTGATACAGAGTAGAAATACAAGACCAGACTGGATTTGCTGTGTGAGCTCCCTTGTGCTGTTCAGAGGCTTCCCCTCCTGAGAGCTGAACAGTTAAATGTAGCTTGTGTTTAAAAAAAAAAAAAGGAAATAAAAAGGAGATAGTTAAGTGGAGCTGTCAGAGGAGAAGTTCTAGCTTTAGATTGCCCTGTTATTCCGAATGGTAAAAACAGATTCAATTTTTGATAGCTAAGGCTGGACAGAAGGTGCTGGACTAAACTCAACCGTTGGTATCTAAGGGGTGTTTAAGGAGAGCTGGAAATTTCCCTGTCAGCTCCCTGGCTTTGTCGTGGTGAGCACTGGGGATCAAATCTGATCCCAAGCAGGTCTGAATACCTGTCATCCAATGAAGGAATGAGTGGGAGGTGCTTGTGGCTGGACAGACTAACCTAGGAAGAGGTAGGATAGATGTGTGTCAGACAGCTGCTGTTACAAGCCTCTGATCATGATCCAAACCCTAGTGCAAAAGGAGGAAGGCGTTGGGAGGTGGTGCCAGTTGTTGTGTACACAGCTGACATGTGTCCTGGAACGTGTCCTTGGAATTATGTAATTATGTCCTTCTCTCACTGTTGTCTCTCTGATTGCCTTTGTCATCTCCAAGACTTGCCTTCTGCCTGTTCCCAAGTGACCTGTTGACCGTTGCTGCAGGTGACTGTCCCTGACTCTGCTCACTGAACTGCCCAGAAGCGTCACAGCCACGGCCCAGGGCTGAGCCAACACCCCGGCCTGGACACTGCAGAGCCCTGAGCGACAGCAAACTCTGCTGCCTCCTCTTGGGTGGACCTGCTGAACAGGAAGGTGATGCAGAACTTGATTCCAGAACCAGGGCAGAAGTGGGAGCCAGCTGAAGCTCAGAACCTCTGTAGCAGCGAGATGGATGGTGTTGGAATAACCCCCTGTTCCATGAGCTGAATGGGAACATCCCTGTGTCCAAGTGAACTTAGTCCTGCTTTCAGCCTCTGTTTGCACAAGACATCTGACAATTTTGCAGCTGAGAACAAGGACCTTTTGAAAGCAACAATCTTTTTGTGCCTTGCTATGACAGGAATCTGAGACTTGGAAGGTGTGGTGATTGAAGAGTTTATGCCAGAAGTTCATGTAACAGATGTTTCCTTTTCCTTGTAAGCTGTTCAGTTCCCTAAGAGTAATCCATTTGGTGAACATACTTGAAGATATACTAAGTTCTTTGATATTTTGATTTGAGTTTTGTTGGGTTTTTTTTTAATTCTACAGGAGAATAAAGAATGATGATTCCCTTCAGAGAGTTAACTAGAAAACCTTAGTGTAACTTCCTTTCTGATATACATTTTTTAATTTATTGCTTGGGGGGTGGGGGAGGATGTTGATAATTTTGCCTCCACTTCAGTAACAGTCAATTGATCTGTAGATATCTAAGTGCTGGTAACAGGTTTTTCAGCCTTTATGACTGTAGAGTGCAAAATCAATTTGCTGAAATTGTTTTCTGGATTTACACTTGGAAATGCTGATCTGCAGGTTTCCTACTCTAAGCCTACTGAGACTTTATGCATTGATTTGTTTTGGCTATGG